ATGCTTAATGGGAATTTCCAGAGGGGTGGGGGGTCCTTCCGTGGGGATTTATGAATACTGGACACTCAATTTTGCTGTGTGGTTACCCTGTGAATATTGAAGACATGATCTGTGTGCATGTTTTGCACTTGGCAAGCGAGTTCTTATGCCCTGGAGGGGGGAGGGGGGGAGTCTCATACGAAAAGGTTATTACCGTTTTTAGGATCGATTTCCACTGGTCTCTCAAGTCCGGTCTACTAATGCAGGCTCCCTTTCTGAACAGCGGCTGGTAATTAAGCCTTGTTGCTTTCCAGTTGGTATCTTTTAGAGGTCAAAAAAGCTGAAGCCATGCCCAGATAGTCTCTTTTGGAGGTTTAATTCAATTTTTTCGATGAGCGTCCGTGACCTTTTCATACAGGAGTCTTTCCTTCTCCACCCCCTGCCCATCCTCAGGTTCTTATGTCGGCTGATCATGTGTTGGCTTGATTCCTTGCAGAGGACGAACAATTCAACGATGAAAAAGTCTATCTCATCAAGCAAATTAAAGAACTGTAACCAAATGCACATGGCCACTGTGAACTCAGAATTGAGAGAACATGTAGATTTTATTTTGTAGTCAATGTCAAGCAGATTTTTAACTCCATTAATCTTTACCATGTCTTCAGTTAGGAGTTGCTTATGTAGTTCTTAACGTCTGGACCGCGTATTAACCGAGAATGTTTATACGGTAGAAGTTAATGTCAGGGACAGAGCTGATTTAGCACGGCAGCAGTGAAAAAACGTCTTTGAATAAGACAGAGTACAGTAAGCAGTTTTTGTGTGCACCGTGTAAAAATATAACTAATGACCAGTATATTATGAGTAAGAATGCATGGTATTCACAAATGCCATCATCCCTGACCTTTGTCTTGTTTCCAAGTGAAGGTGGAGAAATTACTTAGTCGAAAGTTGTATCATCGGCTTGGTATGTTAAACACTGAATCAGTTTTAATTTTGAACTTTACAGTTGAAAAATTGCTTTGCTACACCTGCTAGTGAATGAATTGTTTATTATTGCACAAAAAAATCAAGCCTTTTGTCAGTGCACAGTTAGGGAAACTAAGACCATTGTGTATCTGTTCAGAGTCCCTTTTGAACACTTTTTCAATGTGTGTGTGCTCCAGAATGCTCATCCGTTGATAGAATTAATGATATTATGCAAGCAAACAAAACAATCTTATAATGTGTTTTCCTTGCAACTGTTTTCTGTTATTATGTTTAGGGAAGACACTCAATCCTAGCATTGTCTCATTTTTGTAAGACCATAGAGACTCAATTTGTCACTGTATCATTTACAAATGATTCTTGTAGATTTGGAAAATCAAAGGCGTCCATTTATGAATACAGTAAGACCTGCCATAATTCCATCCAAGTATAGGATTGATTATACGATAGCTATTGGTCGTAAAAACAGCAGAGTAACAGCAATTTTCAAAAAGGAAACACGATTTTTCATTCTACAAAACAGGTTTCGACATTCCTATTAATTATCATGTAAACTTGTAGTGTTAGTCTTGGGAATATGTTTTTTTTGTAATACTCATTATTGGAAATGCTTGTTGGTGAAGATATAGCGGGTGTGAAATGATGTAACAGCGATGTTGAGTACTGTAAAGTTAACCACATGTCGATATTATAGTTATGGGTAATTTAGTTTTCTTGATTGTCGCGTTATTGATAATTATTTTACTCGCTTCACATAAAACTTAATCACAATGTGGGCCACGTATGTATACTAAATCTGTGTCCCTACGTGAAGGGACACCTCATTTAGGGACACTTGACATTCACCGAGGAAACACTTCACATGAAGGGATCATTTGTACTTGTTTCATCCAGCTATTAATCCACTTCTTCAGTTAAGACGTTTATAACGAAAACTTTGCTTTTGACACATTTTGGAGTGAGGAAACTCCAACCGTAAACACTCAACGTTTTTTGTATGTTATTTTTAGGGACCATAGATTGAAGGCTCTTCAGATCAACAACAGTGTTTAGCAGTGTTTACTCTGTTAAAGCGGCTAATCTAATCTTGTAGATTATATAAAGAGCCTTCACTACATCTGNGGGGGGGGGGGTGAAGGGGGTCCCGCAAAGGGGCCTTCACTCTGTAGTTCCGTCCAACGAAATTGTACAAAAAGTGTTAAGTGATCATGACTGTAGCGTCCGTGTCGTACAGTTGCAAGTAAAACTGACGAGTCTGTATTATAATAACTGCATCAACAAGGGAATGGGCCCAGTCTACGGAAAAATGTTTGGGCCGTGTTTTAGTTCATTTATATCCACGATTACGGCTCTAGGTTAGGCTTTCGTATTTTCTTAGCCTTCAGCAGAGGTTGTCAAAAACGGGCTGAGGTAAGGCTCGATTACCAGCCACTTCCGTGAAATGAGCCCGCTTTCACCCCCGAAAAGACTTCTGCGGAACTTAGAAATAAGTTGCATCTTGAATGTGCCCTTACAGGCTTCCGTGCTTGTCTCTTCTCGGAGAGGAACGTGACCGGACCCGAGAGAGCGGCGGAAATCGAGCCTAGTCTAAGCTAACACGACACCAGTTGATGTCATTGTTAAGTGAATATGTTCTTGGTATGGAAAATTGTTCCCCAGATAATACGTTGATCCATCTTTTAAAGTTTCTACTTGTATTTTGCTTTTTAACAAGGATATAAAAATAAAATCATCCATATTGCATTGCATTGCAATACCGCTTGATTTATATTAAATTGCGTTCTGTCAAAAAAGGCCTTGATTTTTCGTATGTAAAACCTTTCTTTTTAGTTTTTATAAGCCGGCCCTCTCAATCACAAGTGCTATTAAGACAATTATAAAATTCTAAAAAGGACTCAGTATTCTCATGTCTCTCATCAGTGGTGAAGATTAACTGTAATACTGATTTGTTGGTGGTAAAGATTACACTTATTGATCTCTTGCCGGTAAAGATTACCCTAAGGAACGATTACTCTTTACCAATCGACTGGTAATCAGGATGACCCTGACTGATTGGTCCAATTGAGGATGAAGCTTATTTGATCAATTGGAAGCACAGATTACCCTTTTTAATTTGGTGGTAAAGATAACTCTTATTAATCGGTTGTTTCAAAAGATTACCGGTATTGATCTGTTTGCTGGTAGAATTACCCTCTATTAATTTGTTGTGGTAAATATCATTCTTATTGGTCAGTTAGTGGTAACGAATTTGGTGGTAAATTTCATTCTTATTGCTTAGTCGGTGGTTGGGATGTGGCCAGTATTGATCCGGTGGAAAAGATTATCTTCACTGACCTGTTGGTGATGAAGATTACCCTTGTTACTCTAATAATCGCTTGTTAATGCTCTCGTGGGTTGGTCGTAAAGATTTAAACCTTACTGATCTGCTTGTGATAAAGGTTTTCTCAATGTTGCTTGCGGTGTTGCAACGTTAATTTTTCAATGCTCTCATTTTGGTAACACGGTTAGATGGATCTTGAAGTTTTCCTGTAGATTCCAGTGCTATAACATTGTCTAATTTACCGTTCAATGAGATCACGCCCGCCTTATATATAAGTACTTCGCGTACGACCAGAAATTAATTAGCTTTCCCAGGTTAACTCCTTCCAGGCGTTCAGTTAGTTGGGGCGCAGCGCGAAAAATGGCAGAGAGAATAAAGGCACAACGCCTGGAAGAGACTAGAAATCAACTTGATTGAAGTAGACCGGTAGGACTGCAAAAAAAATAACTAACTAATAAACGAACAAGGGTGAATAAACACGAATTTATATTAACAGTGCTTTCTATAATCATAACATGGCTTTATCATTGTTTTTAGTTTAATTTTAATATTTGAATTTCGATTTAATTTCCATTATACTTGAATGGTTATGTTCTAGTCCCATACAGCTCCATTCGTAAGGCGATACATAGATGCCAATCACTTGGGTACAACCTCACAACTGACACTTCAAATGGCTCCAGGTCATGTCTCACAACAGAACTTTCATCTGTGTTCCCAATGAATGACTGCAAGTGCAAATAGAAGGCGATATTAGCAGTTAAGAGTAACTAACTTCCAAACGAAACAGAAGGAATAGTTAAGAAACTTACATGGGTATACGTTTTATTGTCATTTTTCGAAATCCGAGCTCAGGAATTTTACTTTATTTTGTTTTGTTTTCTGTTTGTTGTTTTGTTTTACTGTTTTTCCCATTTTCAAGCCCTCGTCTTTCATCTTTTCACATCCTGATAAATTTCCTTTTTGTGTTAGGACAGAAAACGCAGCTTATCGAAAGCGATTGAGAAACGATAATCATGTGATTTCCCTGAAGCAGCTTTCCTCAAACACAAATCCAAAATGACCGGCGAGTTTTGAGTTTTTAAATTCCTCCGGCTTAGTGTGCACGGGTCTTAAGAGACTGACTTACTTTTTCTACGTTGTCTTCCGTGTATTTATACCACGTGGCATGTAAGACTTCCAGAGTGTAAACTGTAATCCAACAGGCCTCGTACGCTGCCCCTTGAGTGGCTACTGCAGTCAGGTTGATTTTGTCTCGCAGATAAACTGTAAAGAACTGGTTTTTATCATCATGGTCAGGCATCCAGCAGGAAGGACCGTGTAATCTTGCTCTCCATGGCTCATGACCAGCTTTACTGCTCTTTGCAGTCAGATCTCCGTCTCCAATAAAACCGCTCTCTAAACCCATGGCCATTGGTACGGGCGCTTTGTGAAACCATAGTTTGAAGGAAATGGAGATGATGTCATAATGCTAGTAAAACACAAGTTTTGCTGGGACATTTAACAAGTGAGGGCAAGTAATGAATAACTATACAAGCCTTTACACTTGCTTGTCATTGACCTTCAAATTACTAAACTGTGCGCTAACGCCTTGTTAAGGAGAAAACAAGGATCTGAATGACTAGAAAAGTTTGAAAGAATTTGTTTGCAGCACAAATTGCTGCCCAATTCACAAGCAGGAGAGGTCCATAAAGGTATATTTAACAAATCGAATGTGGTTTAGCGTGGTCTGTACTCTTATCGACAACGAGTATGCGTCATCACAGTGGTCAAAATGTTGTTTGGGAAAAGAGTAATGACGCGTACTCGTTGTCGATAAGAGTACGGACCACGCTAAACCACATTTCGATTTGTTTTTTACCAAAATATCAACGTCAAAGAATTAACAAATGGTTAACGCCACAGCGTGCACTATTGAGTTATGGATGCACGCGGGAGGTTGCTAAGCACGAAAGAAGCGTAAGAGTCGNTTTGCGGCCCGCAAAGCGCGTGTTTTCAAGAGGGCGGTTTTCAATTTGGCCGCGTATATTGATAATAATTCGTATTGACCGGACTAGCTCTACTCGAAGAAATAAAATGTTCGTCATTTAATTTTTATTCCTTTTACTAAATTTTTACCATTCATACTTAACAAAAACAACACTGGACCAGAACAAACCTTCACATAACGTGCCCGAGAATCCCTCGGGACATATACATCGGGTTATGGGATAGGGCTTGCAACTTCCTCCATTCTTACAAGACTCAGCGATGACGCAAGGATTAAACTGACGGACAACCATGGTGATGTATACTGATTCCTTCATTTGTTTAAAGTCGGCTTGGAATGCTTCCGCTGTGCCAAGATTGAACTCGCACAGTTTCTTTTGAGCCTGAAAATTGACGCTGTAACATTGAGGATCCAGCTCGCAGGAAAATATGCAGCGAGCAAAAGTGTCTTTAGTTACTGTCTTAAACACGTGACCTGACAGGGCGTGGTCGAAGACCGGGAAGCTGTTATGGCAGGTATAGGAGTCAACAGAATGCTTTTTCAAGATGATGATGATGATAATAATGATCCGAGCACACTGAAGACGGATGCCAGGCGATCTTTCCATTTGTCATCACACCTAGAAATGTGAGCTAATAATAATAATCAGTCATTCTTGGCTTATCTAGTTGAGTTCATCATCTTACAACATCTTTTTTATTGCAAAACACATAATTACTTACATTGTGCTTACTCTTCTTACAATACGACACAATACTTACTCTACTTAAAATACAATACAATACAATGCAATGCAATGCAATACGATGCAATGCAGTGAAATGCAATACAATACGATACGATACGATACGATACAGTACAGTAATTTACTCTACTATTTACATTATTTACCATGCGATTCGTACATTACAAGGATACGGTTAAGCTTACGCTATAAAACAATACAACAACTTGCACTACTAACAGTTCTTACTTGTAAATATACTAACACTAATACCTAAAATAGCAATATTACATACCGCTCTACTTCTAGTAGCTAGCAATCTTTAAAGTTAATCAGTCATTAAATTATAGTTTATTTAATCCTGGAGAACACTTAGAACACCTACAGGTGACCCTAATGCCAAACGTTTAAATGTAAAAATTAAAACTACTGTATAGCTGAGAAACCAGCTGATTAATTCTGCAAATTAAATGCAATATTCATTAATAACTGCGAAGCTGTAGTACACAATTTGCAAACGGCAACTCGTTTAATTTAGCGATGCAAACATTTGCAGGGAAAAGCTACAATCGTGGACAAAAGTCCTCAGGACACTATTATTGAATTTAACGAATTGTATGTGTTTTACTACTGAAGTTTGAAGAAAGCGCTACTTTTCTTTTAAAAATGCGTTACTGTTCCCCCTCGCCACCCCATACAATGTTTGAAGTCAGAAGAAATTACAGGTAGTAGCTTTCAACATTGTATAGGGGATGGGGGGCGAGGTTAGGCAGGTGAAGCTGTATTCGCGTCCGGCGTGTGCGCAAGGTCACGGGTTCGAATCCCGTTGAAGCTCTGATTTTTTTTTTCAGGCTTCTTCTCTCCAATTGCGTAAATTGGAAAATGTACTGCGATGATCATTCTTCACTTTCATCTACAACCGCAGTTCAAATATGAATTACTTCATATATACTTC